GAGAGAGAGAGAGAGAGAGAGAGAGAGAGAGAGAATGAATATAAAGGTGGAAGAAGGGAGTGGTCCTTCCCTATTTTCTTCCTGTCTGTCATCTCTGCTGGCTCCATAAAAAGATTTGCTCATGACTGGAATTTGTGGTTCAGAGAGGGTCAGGTTCTAAGGTGGAGGCATCAGATAATAAAACTGCCTGGCCCTCCAAAACACTGCCTCATTAGTGTGATCAAAATTGGCTGCTGGCTGGGGGTGCAGCCTGCTACCCAGCTAAGACCCTGCTGGGCAGGGCAGGGCAGGACAGCCAAGAAGAGGCTCTTCCTGGACAGGTCAATGTTAGCTCTTAAAGACTCTTTGCAAATAGAACAGCAGGTTTATATCTCCCTCTTGCTTTACAGGCAGAAGTCCCTTTGGGAGACATTCACAGGCCAGCTCTGCCCTGAGCTTCAGCTTAGTTTATGTATCTGCTACATTTCCATTATTCTCTTGCTCCAGGGCCAAGGGGCTGTCCCTCCCTCTTTCCTCCCATGGAGACATTCTACATCTGGTTGGTCCTCTTCCTCTCTTTGCCAGAGGTTATTGACTGCTACAAATTTGTCTGTGTTAGCCACTGCCCTCCCCAGTGTCCTGTGGCCTTTCCCTCATTCTTCCTGGCATGGATCCACATTATGAGTATTGTGAGTCTGGAAATGGGAGTGGGTGAGAGTGGACATGTGCTGGTTCTTACCAGTCCAGGAAGTGATCCAGGGGCACATTTTTTTGTAGCCCAAGTATTATGGAGAAATTCATATCTGTTACCTACAAATAAGAAAACAGAGGAAAATCATGACTTCATTCTATCACTTCTGCAACTTAATAAAAAAGACCAAAGCTCAAAAGCCAGAAACAAACCAAACCCCAAACAAACTCTAAGTAAACAACCATTTTATAAAGCTATGCAAATGACCAATAAGCTCATCAAAAAATGCTCAACATCATTAGTTGACAATGAGATATATTACATACCCATGGAACGGCTTAAAAAGAAAAAAAAATGACACTGAGTGTTGACAAGGATGTAGAGCTACCAGAACTCTCCACAAGAGGGTAAAGGTAATTCAAAAATAGGAGAAAATGTTTGCAAATTATATATGTGATAAGGGGTTGATATTCAGAATATGAAAGAACTTTTAAAACTAGGCTACAAATGTCCCATAGAAAATAATGGAGCTCATCCAACCAGTTGTTGGCTGAAGAGTCATGAACATAAGTTTTTAGTGCAGTTGCTTGTCTTTCTTTGGCCCCACAAATTGGTCTGTCCTACTAACCTCCAAATTTTGATCAAGAGATCATTCTGAGTGTGACTGAGTTTTATGGCTGCTTCTGTTAAGACTCTTTCCTCCTCCTTCCAAAGGGAAGTCCCCATGATTATCAGTGCTGTAGACTCCAAGATCTGCCTTCTGTATCTGGCCCATTAGGTTTAGGTCCAAACATTGTTAGGCAGGAGGATCCCACTCTACCACTGAGCCCCAGCCCCAGCCCTTTTATTTTATTTTGAGACAGGGTCCCACTAAGTTGCACAGGTTGAACTCAAACTTGGGATCCTCCTGCCTCACCCTCCCAAACTGCTGGGATTACAGGTGTGGGCTTGCTGCACTCAACTAATCAAATCTTTTGCTCATTTAAAAAATTGGATTGTTGGGGCTGGGGATGTGGCTCAAGCGGTAGCATGCTCGCCTGGCATGCGCGGGGCGCCGGGTTAGATCCTCAGCACCACATAAAATAAAATAAAGATGTTGTGTCCACCGAAAACTAAAACTAAAAAATAAATATTAAAATATTCTCTTTCTATCTTTAAAAAAAAATTGGATTGTTGGTAGTTTTTTGTTTTGTTTTTGTTATTGTTAGGACTCCTCACATTAGAGAATCTAGTCATTGGGAAGCCCCAGTATGCCTGGGCCCTAGTCTTCATCTCTCCTGTCTTCACCTCTAGCTGGTCTTTCCTATATTTCAAGGTAGGACCTTTTGGCCACCATCCCAAAGGGCTTCTCTGAGCCCTGGCTAGTGTCTCTTGAAGGTAACCCCTAAGGGGCACTTTCCTAATGGCAGGTATTCCAGGGTCTCCTCAGGTGGCAAAATGATCAGTCTGTTCTATGTAGTGTTAAGGCAGGACTCCTCAATCATACAGCTTTACAATGTACTCTTATAAATCATATAATGTCGCTACGCCTCAATTTCCTGATCTGTGAAAGGACTGATTATGCTGCTTACTTCATAGTTGTTGTGGTGAGGGCTGTCATGTAGATTAAATGATTTAATAAGGTGTAAAGTTCCTGGAGATGTCCCTGACACATAAGAAGCACAGTACAAGTGTTTTTTTTTTTTTTTTTATCCCCCCCCCCACTCCTATGTTCTCCATATTCTTTGAAGTATTTTGTTCTCGAATGACAAGTGAAAAGAGTTTGTGCATGTTATATCAGCCAGGATCCAATCCTGAGACAGGACACTGGGCCAGTTATGTGAACAGGGAAAATCTAATGTAAAGATTAATAACTTGTTAAGAATGGGGGTTAAGAATATAGGATTAGAACTGGGAATGGTGAAGCACACCTGTAATTTCAGTGACTTGGGAGGTTGAGGGCAGGAGGATGGCAAATTGAAGCCAGCCTGGGCAATTTGGTGAGACCATCTCAAAGTTAAAAAAAAAAAAAAAGGAAGAAAAGAAAGAAAAAGAGAAGAAAAGAAAAGAAAAATGTTCAGTGGTAGAGTGCCCTTGGGTTCAATACCCAAACCCAAACCCAAACCCAAACAAACAGAAGCAAAAAAAAAAAAAAAAAAAAAAGTCCCAGGAATAACAGATAAAGGAGCAGCCACTAGCTCTAGGGCTGACACTTCCCACCGCTCCCCACCTAGGCTGAGAGCCAGAATTCTGGGGTGAGGGTGTGGCAGTGGCTCAGTGGGTGGCAGAGAAGTTGGCTGAGGCGCTGTAGGCAGGGCTGGCAAGCAGGAAACTGTCTGCTGGGTTCTGGGAAGCCGCCCACAGGCAGCTGTGCTATAAGAGCCAGAAGAAAAGTACTGGACCCAGGAAGAGAAGCCCCTTCAGTGTTTCTCCAGCACTTTTACTGGCAAAGCCTAATGATGGCACAGCTGCCAGAGGACCTTTGATTTTAGGGCCCAGTTACAGGATGACAGAGCATGTGAAAGAAGGGCACATTTGGAGCAAAGAAGCACTAAGTTGATTGAGTCCCCTTCCATCTGTGTTCTCATAATTTAAAACATTTTAAAGGGAATTTTCCCAAATCCTGTCTTATGTATTTATAGTACTGCAAAAGGGAGCTATGGGAGGGTGACCATATGCTCCAGATTGTGTGGGACAGTCACAATTCATACTTGTTGGTCAAATATTATTAATAGTGCCCCTTTTCATTCTCAGCAATGTCCCCTTTTGGAGGAGGTAACGTGATTACATTAGCTACGGATGTAGCAGCTTTTATCAAATCCTCCCACTGAAAGTAGTTAGAAAATCTGTAACTACTAATAATGACAACAGAACCCCCTGCCCCGGCCCCCACGACCTGTCCCCCAAACAAACAACAACAACAAAAATCAAAAAATGTTTAGAGGCAATAGTGAGCTTCCAAGCTCATCCAGGAGTTAAGGGACTGGGATTCCAAGGAGAAAAGAAGGTCCTTGTGGTGAGCTTGGTACCCTGAGTCACTTTCCTCTTGGAAGTGTTTGCTGGGTTGTAAGTGGGAGAAACCAAGAGACTGAAAAGCTCAGCAGAAAGCAGTAGCCCACAATAGTAATATATGATAAAAAATGTACATCTGAGTCCATCTAAAAGAGCTATTTTTATAAGTATAAAAATAAAAATTCTATGTGACACGAAAGTACTGTGTTAGTTAAAATGGTAGCATTTCCTCCCTTAATGATACATACAATAATGGTGTATTTTACAATGCAGGGCATCTTAGATTAGAGAAATATTTGTTCACAAGTGTGGATGTTTCTATGAAGGAGAATCCTATGGAATCTGCTGGATCAAAGGATATGTGCATTTCAAACTTTGATAGATTCTGCTAAACTGTCTTAAAAACCAAACCAAACTAAAGAGTCTCCATTTCCCCACACTCTCGTCAACACTGTATGTTACAAATCTTCTAAATTTTTCCCCATCTGACCTGCTCTCACCCTTTCTTCCTTTTGGCTTGGATCCAGAGTGAAGGGATCTGAGCTTCCTCAATTTACCACCATGCTACACTCTGTGTACTCTGCTTGAACTTTGGAGAACTTGGGCCTTGGGACCCACTCATCTGTCTCCTCTTATAAATAAATAAAGGGAGATTTCCCCACACAGTGCTAGTGAGACTCAAGGACTATCTGGACAGGAAGGACTTCAGGCATGGCCAAGTGCAGGGGTTCTGAAGAGGATTCAAGAGGGTCCACCCCATGAAAGATGGCAGTGGCATCTTTTAGATTTCTATTTAGAAAAGTAATTTAAACTAATTGGGCTGGGGATATATGCTTTGCATGCACAAAGCCCTGGGTTCAATCCCCAGCACCACCAAACAACAACAACAAAAAATAATTATTAAGACTCCCCGCAACACTTCAAATTGAATCAATCACTTTGGGAGCCTCTGGATGCATGTTGACCAGTACACACAGCACTCCCTGAATGCCAGATATCTGTCCATGTGGCAACTGCCCAGGTGGTTCCTCCTGTGGGTTTCAACTTCTCTAAAGCAATGTTTTTGTAGTCGTGACTAAAACAAATTTTAAAAAATATATTTTACTGAAATAAAGCCAATGATGACCATAAAATATTCTGTAAATTTGAATCAAGATGATTTTCATTCATTAGATCCACAAATTTGATTCCACTAATCAGACTGTTTATATGCCTCATCAGGATATCTCTTGCATATCAGAAATTAGAGCCTTAAAGAAAAAAATACAATGACTGTTATATCCAGTTTGGTCTTCTATTATTAAGAAGAAAGATCAGCCATACTCACTTTGTTACTTGCAGAATGGTACTTGCATACAGCAATCTTTCTGTTTCATCATGTAGACATGAAAACATGAAAGTAATAAAAATATACCACTTTTTTTTAAAGTGCAAAAGGCATAAATTTCAAACACTCACTTAGGAAAGCAGTTTTTGTCTATTTCTGATGTTATAATGAGTCATTAAGTTTCATACATTTTAATATATAGTACATTTGTTCCAATACCAAATATGACAAGTATTTTAAAAGTTTTTTTTGTTAACAAACATGCCTTCTTCTTATATAATTAAATTAAACATTTTGCATTACTTGGTAAATGGGACAGTGTTGATACTAGTCTTTTTATTCTATAGGCATTACTGTTTTAAAATTACACATGGATCTAAACTAAGTTTGATTGTATTAAAAAACCACTCCTTTAATATGTATCTTACACAATTTATTAAATGATTAAAATAATTTAATGGTGATGGTAAGAGTTACATGGTAAAAAGAATTTTCCAGTCAAATGGACTTATTTAGTCTAGGTTCTTCCATTTATTTATGATATCTATTTAGGCCTCTACAAAGACCCATATACTTATCAACTCAGTTACATATGAAATTCTTTACAAGTTTTACTTTCTTTTAAAACACTTTTATAAACCTAAATACCTTTTACAATTTACTCAAGCCTGTACTTAAGTTTTGTATTAAATCCCCTGTTTGAGATCAAGTAATCTTTACAACAACAACAACAACAAAAATCTATCTTTTGAACACAACTTTAAATAAGCTTAATTCCAGCCTACTTTGGAACCATCCTAACATGAAGGACAAGAGGCGGAGCTCAGGTGGGGCTGGCCTCTTGACAAATCTTGAAGTGTTTTATTTCTGAAGTTGATTTTTGCCTCTTTTTTAAGGAATCCTTCTACAAAGTACTTATATATTGTTTGCTGATCTATCTGAATATCAGTTAACACAAATTACCCCTGAAACATAAATCAAACAAAAAGGCCAAGAGACCTCTTAACTTTCTTTTTGTGGAAAAAGTGGCAAAATGTTTTCATATGGCACATTGTCAACCTTGAAACAAATCAGGCTTTCCTTATATATTCCTCAATTTAGAGATGAGGAAATGAGTCCCAGAGGGAATGAGAATTATTTAAGATCTCTTATGCCCAAAGAAGATCACAACTAAGACTCCTAGCTCATTGCTCTTCAGAGGCAGTCTAGGTGCAGGTAAGTGATTTGGAGGTCTCAAGAGGCTTCTCCTTTTGTCTCAGACTCTGTTCCTTTTTCAATATTACCCTTTCTAGGTTCCTTCCTTAGGACCCTCAATTTCCTTGGGGCTAAGCTATTTAAGTTCCTTTTATGAGGTGCTGACTTCCCATCGCACACAGTCAGGATCCATCACTATCTTCTGAACTAGTAAAGGATTGGAACCATGAAAGGTGGGGCAGAAGAGAGGGAACTGGATTGCCAGTGGCCAACTCTGCTGCTCTTGGTTTACCAGGTGGGCTCTGCCCCAGAGACTCAGAAGGGAGGAAGGGCAGATTCTGCAAATGCTATTGGGATTTCAGAAGATGCAGAGAATGAGTCCACACCTTATTTTCTTGTTTACCAGGAAAATCAATCCCTTTCAATTTGGGGGGGGGGGGGAAATTATCCCTACCCTGTAGCAAGACATATATTTGCCTTTTCAGCCTGTTCCAACTTTGGAGGAAGTAATGTATTTCAAGGGATCACTCTCAGCTGCCCTTGATTTACCCTGGATTTGTCCACACATTCTCAAAGGAGCCCTAACCCTGTCATGCTGTAAACAACTCTGCAGCCCACCACCTGCCTGGTGCCTTGCAGGGTATCAGCCACTCCCTTTCTGAGCTTCTCTTTTTTTGGGGGAGTACCAGGGATTGAACTCAGGGGCACTTGACTACTGAGCCATATCCCCAGCCCTATTTTGTATTTTACTTAGAAATAAGGTCTTGCTGAGTTGCTTAGGGCCTAGCTAAATTGCTGAGGCTGGCCTTGAATTTGCAATCCTCCAGTTTTAGCCTCAGTCATTGGGATTACAGCTGTGTGCCGTCACCATGCCCAGCTCACAAGGCTCCTTTCTTCTTAGGGTCTCACTGAGTTGCTAAGCCTCACTGTTGCTGAGGCTGCTTTGAACTCTTGATCCTTCTTGTTTTAGCCTCCCAAACCGCTGGGATTACAGGTGTAGGCTCCCTCACCAGGGACAAGGCTCCTTTCTCTAGGTGAATAATCCAGTCTGCACATGGCTCTGAGCTTTCTACAAAAAGATTCAGAAGGCCCCTGCTCTACACAGAATCTATTGCTGCCTCCTTGTCAACCTGACCACTTGTTATCTCTTCTGCTTGAATTTCAAGACCTTCTATACTCTAGTATCAAACTACTGCCTGCTATTTTTCACCCTAAAATAACCTGTTATTGTGGGCAAGTCACCATCAAGGTCACCATACCCATGACCTCAATTCTGCTCCTATGGCTTGTGCATGCTGGTTATTTTCACCAAGTGCCAAGATCATCCTGTTGTTTGCTTTTCTGGGAGGGCAGAGGTCACCAAAAAAGGTGACCAATATCCGGGCACAAACAAGATGAGTGCGTCAAGCCTGAAGGAATAAACAGAGGGGGCAGTGGCAGATTGTGGAGGTGCTGCCACTTTAACCCCAGGAGGATGCAGATTCCCAGCGGAGTTATCAGTTAGGTAGTATGCAGAGTGCCTAGGGGCAACAAAAATGCTCAAATTTTAGTTTTTGAAAATGATTAGAAATAATGAACATATGTGAATAAAATAATATAAATCCAGCCTGGGTTTGTTAGGGGCAGGACAGGCTGAACTAAGTTGTCTGCAGGGCAGGCTGAATAGCTGCAGGATAACCCACACACTCAAACCCCCCTGTCTGTCCTTTATCACCTGTTTGCATCAAGTCTGAACACTCAACCCCACTCAAGGCTGAACACTCGACCCCCACTGTCTAGTGCAACGGAAACCCACATCTAGCCCCTGCCCCCTCTGCCTGAAGGCAGAAGATGACACTACTGTATGATCCAATCACTGTATGCCAACAAGGCAGTTTGCAGACCCAGAGACCCCATTAGATTTGGGCTATTAAAAATTCCCTCCTGCCATTCCCCTCTCTCTTGCTCTGTCTTCTCTTGCTTTCACTTTCCCTCTCACTCCTCTCCTCTTCTCTCTCTCTCTTTGTTCTCCCGGCCTCTTTCTTTCTCTCTTTTCTCCTCTTTTGCACTGCTGCAATAAAGATCTCTTGGTCGCTCTGAGTGTTGTGGTCACTGTCCTTTCAGGATTAATCTTTATGCCATCGTATTTTTAAAGTATACTTTTAAAAGAAGTTCTCTTTCCCTTTCCCTCTCTCCCCATTTTTTTTTTTTTTTGGTATTGGGGATTGAATGCAGGTGCACTTTGCCACTGAATTACATCCCTAGACTTTTAAAATTAAAAAAAAATATATATATATTTTCTAAGAGAGTCGCTAAATTGCAGAGGCTGACCAGAAATTTGCGATCCTCCTGTTTCAGCCTCCCAGTAATAGGGATCACAGTCGGGGGGCGGGGGAGGGGGCATCGTGCCTGGCCGAAACATTATTGTTTAAAATGAAGGAAAGGGGTCCACAAGGACACAAAGTATGGTCCAGAATAGTCATATTCACTGGGTACAGTGTTTAAACTTTTTTTTTTTTAATGGATCTTTGGATATTTAAATTAGAGCTCCAGGTTTCAAATAATTTTAAAAGTTGGTTTTAAAGTTAGGAGAACAAAAATTAACATTCTGTGGCTCAATAAAACACGTAGGGTTGAGGGAGATGCTGAAACCTCTCCAAGATCAAGGGTGATGGACTGCAAGTGGCGCGACTCCTCTTCAGGGGACAAGCCTTCTGCCCGGAGTGCCCAAGCCCTCGCTAGGGTTGCAGGATGAGCCCTAGAACTCCTGGCGGGTGTGGCAAGGCCCCAGGGCTGGGGCCCTGCGGCGCCCCCAGCAGCCCAACCTTCCGGCCCCCGCGCCCGCCGCCGGCAGAGGCCGCCCTCGAGCAACTCGGACACAATCTTCCAAAGATTTCCGGGCTCCAGCAGGCCACCTGGCCGCCCGCACCCCGCGGGAAGTCGTTCGCGCCTTCCAGCGCACTTCTCGGCTGGGGTCGCCGCGCAGCGAGCGGTTGCCGCGGTATATCTCGAGTCTCCGAGCCCAGGCCCCGCGTCCCGGCCCCGCCCCTCGTCTCGCGTCATCACAGCCGCGAGGCCTGCCTGCCGGCTCCCAGTGCTGGGTCCTGCCCCTCGCAGCCCTCTCCTAGGAGTGAAGCCCCGCCGAGAACGCGGTGTTGGCTTGTGGCCGCAGGGATCAGGCCGCCTCTCCCACGGCGCTGCCCGGGACGCGGCCTGCGCCCTTTGCAAGGCCCCAGTTCGGCCATGTTAACCCGCCCTCCAGCCCCGAGGGGAATACTTGTAGGTTTTTCCAGCTTGCTGGCCTCGGAGTAGCCAGGCAGCATGTGTGTGCCCAGCCGGAAGTTGCAAACGACCGGGTCCGAGCTAGGAGCCGCGAGTGGCAGACGCGCATGCTCCGCGGAAGCCCGCACCCGGCCGAGTGAACCCTGATAGAGCTATCGCGAGGGCGGCTAAGCGGAGCTCCAGTGGCGCAATCGGTTAGCGCGCGGTACTTATACAGCAGTACATGCAGAGCAATGCCGAGGTTGTGAGTTCGAGCCTCACCTGGAGCACGGCCCCTTTTTTAGATATCCTGAAGATTCATTTTATCTCCTTGCCGAAAGGAGACTTCTCAGTTCCTGTCTCGTAACTACTCTGCCTCAAGTCGCGCTCGGCCACTAGCAGGAAGCACAGCGCAGTGGAATCTTATACCTGTTTCCCGATCGGTTTGCAACATCCAGCACTCGAACCCAGTCGTCCATCTATCTGCCCCCATCTAGTTATTCTTCGGCGGGTCTTTAATGTCATTCTGTCCGGGGGATGCGGCCCGAAGGTGCTTGAGCGCTACCCGGTGGCGGTCACGCTTTCGGGGCGAAGGGATCGGATGCCCCGGTGCTCCTCCCTGCAGGGTGAGCCCTACCTCCCGGCGCCGGGAATGAAGCCTGGGGTCTCAGCCGCGACGCTCGTCCTGGGGCGGGTGCAGCCAGGCCACACTCCTGGCGTGGCGGCCCGAGGCGCACAGGCGGAGCCGGGACGATCTGCTCCCCTGACTTTTAACTAGCAGTAACCACCTTCTTACTGCCCCATCCTTGGGTTCGCGCAGACCCCCGGCCTGCGGGCCCTCTTCCCCGTCGCAGGCGCCCCGCCCTCTCGCGGTAGCTTTGCAGTTTGAGAAAAGTGCCCGGGGCGTTTCCTCTCCCCCCGGCGCTGTCACTCTGAAATGGTGGCGCTAGCTAGTGGTCTAGAGAGGAGACGTTTTCTAGGGCTATTTGAGCGGCAGGCCCCCAATCCGGTTCAGGAGTTTTCTCCGGGGATAGACTCCCCGCGCCCGTGGCCAATTGGGGTTGGGGCCAGCTGGACACTCCTCAGGCTGCTGTGAGGCGCGGGGGCACTGTGTCGAGGGGTGGGTGAGGGCGCCCTGCGCGGGCGGTGTGGGCAGAGCGGGAACGTGTTCAGCTCGAGCGGGGCGGGAGCCTCGTGGACGGGAGCCTCGTGGACGTGTCCTCTCGAAAGGGCGGTTTTCAGCTGCTCTTACGAAGCGCGAGTCGTTAATTTCCGGGATGGATGTAATGTATAACCCAGAGTGGAGAAACGCAGGGTCCAGAAAGCTCTAAGAAGAGGATGGAGGGTGGCGCTCTCGTCGGCTTCCTCGGCGCCCATCCCAGCCGTCGGTGGCTCTCGCCCCCCCAGCCCCGGTTCCGGAGGCAGCCGCAGTGCCGCGAGCAAGTCCGCCCACCTCACCTCATCCCGGGGCGCAGGGCCTCCGCCTTCAGCTCGGGGACTCGTCCTCTGCAGGGTAGCGCGAGCCCCCCAGTAGAGATCCAGCTCAGGCTTGGAAATAAATAGAGTCTTTATCCATTAAAAAAGGTGCTCATTTTCTTCTTGAAAACTTTATTATAATATAAATCGCATATCATATAATTTACCCACTTAAAGCGTACGACTCAATTACTTTTAGTATATTTATAGGTTTTTGCAACCAGCTCGCAGTCAGTTGTTGAGTAATTTCATCACTTCAGGAAGAAACCCTTTATCCCTTTAGCTGTACCCCTGCGGGTCACATAATCTCCCCACCTCACATCACGAATCTACTTCCTGACTCTATGGAGTTCCTACTTCTGAACTTCTATAGGAATGGAATCATCCAGCATGTGGCCTTTTGTGTTTTTTTCCCCTTCCATTTTCCATAAGGTTTTCGAGATTCATCCATGTTGTACTACACATCACTACTTATTTTATTTTGTTTCACATTTTTTTTTTGAGAGGGGTCTCCTGTTGCCTAGGCTAGTCTGGAACTACTAAGATCAAGTGATCCTCCTGCCTCAGACTTCCAAGCAGCCGGGAATACTGAATGCTACTGGTATCACCCAAAGAGCTCATTTCTTTTTATGACAGAATAATATTCCATGTATAGATTATTTTCATACAGGAGAGAAAAGGCTGGCATTTTCGCTGAAAACTTCTTTTCCAGAGGGAATTAATTTTAAAAAGTACAAAGCATAAGAGTGACCTACTGCACCTATCTGAATTTCAGAGGTTTCTCACTGACCGGGAGGAGCTGGTGGGTTCTGAGAGCTGAGCCCAGAGCAAATTCCCTAGAAGGGCAACCATAAATGAGTGAAAGATCATTATATCCAGCTTCCTGTCTATACAGGAACCCTTGTTCAAAACCCCAGCTGTTATTTGAAAATTTCTAGCTTCAGAATTTCCTTTCAAGACAATCCTTTCCATTTTCTGACAACTGTTCTGGTTAGAACCTTCTTCGTAAGTATTATTTGTGTCCCTACTGATTACTGCCCAGATGGTGACTTTAGGGACTCTTTTTCTGGTGGGGTGGAAAGGAAGGAAACTAGTTGTTTAATCTAGAAATCCACACTAGGACATCATTGGTGGGCAACAAACAGACTTGGCAGATTTGTAGTCCAAAGTCAATTTCTTTTTTTCTTTTAGATACAGAAGTTCTGAACTTGGGTGCTCTACCATCGAGCTACTTCCTCAGTGATTTTAATTTTTATTTTTTATTTTGAGGCAGGGTCTGGCTAAATTGCTGAGACTGGCCTGGAACTTGTGATCCTTCTGCTTCTGCCTCCTGAGTTGCTGTGATTATAGGCATTGTGCTACTGCCCCTGGCTATAGCTCAAAGCCTTATAATAATGTTGACAGGACTTTTAGAAGGTTTCAGTGGGTAACAAAAATCAAATCAGAAAATTATGGGATAATAGTTTCTAAACTACAAAATACTATGTCATTACTATTGACAACAGACTACTGGATTCAGCCTGGGTATAATGTATGATGGCTTCAAGGAGGAAGATAGCTAACGATGAGGTACACAAACTGGAAAGGAAGGTTGACATGATATTTGGATAGCCTCAGATCCCCAGCAGGAGAGAAGCTTGATGTACTCCAGGCTGCTATCAGCTTTGTAGATGGAAAGACAGGCTCATCAAAGCTGTGGGCGAGACAAAGCCTGAAAGGAGTGAAGATACAGTAGAATTTGGAGGAAGAGTGGAGCCAATCCAGTGATAAATGTTTCTGACAAATGACAAGATGCAATTTAATACAGATCACTCTAAGTCTATGTTCCATTCAAAGTACAGTGTGTGGAGATGCCTGGCTTGACGGCTATTTGCATATAAAAAAAATTGGGGGATTTCAGACGTGTACAGCCTCAGTTGTGCCAGCATTGTGACCCAACTGCTGGGGAAGTCAAGCAATTATTAATGCATTATTGTATAATGTGTTACAGGGTGTGGTGTCAGGGATCACAAAACAACAGTCTGTGGCACAAATCTAGACTACAGACAGGTTTTGCTGGGTTTGCTAGCAAAACTGAACTGCAAAATGTTTCCATTAAAAAAAATCATTTGCATATTTAGCAATAATTCATGAAAATGGATTGAAGTGGCATCCCCCTTTCTCCACAGAAAAGCCCTCTTCACCATGGCTGATTTTAGGACTGTCAGCAAAACAGTCTCTGCGAAAGAATCCAATGTAGATAAACTTCCTATTTTCGTGTTGCCCTGTTTTACTTGGCCACTGGCCGGGAAGATACCAGCACTCCAGGTGCTGGACACCTCCTTACTAGTTTTTCACAAACGTATCCAGTATAGTACTTTGAAGAAATGTGCAAACAAGGCCTCTGGCCTTGAGCTGGGGCTTCACAGAGATGTCTACATTCTTAAGATAAGTAACAAATGGGCTCCATGGTAACAGCTGGCAGGGGGAGGAAAGGAAGGGGAGAAGAATCTCCCCCCTTCTCAGGTGTTGTCCTTGAAGAGTTAACTTGCCCAGAACAGTGAAGGAAAAAGCTGCTTTTATGTGAACTTCTGCAGACTGTGAACTTCTGGGCCCCTCCCCTTACATGCTGGGTAGAAAACTCTGAAACTACCTGAACTTGGGGTTCAGGGATTAATTGATTACAGCAAAAGCTGTGCCCTCTGAACCTGGCTGCAGCCAAATAAAACTGTTTCCTGCTATCTTCGGTGCCTTGCCTTGTTTGTCCCTACAATAGGATAATTTCAGAGGACTGTCTATATTTCTAGTTCCTAATGAAAAAAAATATCAGAAGATGACTGCCTGTCTGGGACTTTATTCCTCCCTGGCAACATTGGCTGCCCCCTCTTGGAGGTTTATGCCTTCTCTGGTTTGCCACTGTCCCTTGCCACCTTCCATTAATCTCCAGCAGAGAGGTGGGGGACAGCTGCCATGATTCACCCCGGACTCATCTCACTCATTTGCACCCTCCAGTCATTGAGTGTGGGGCTTATGCACTGATAAAGGGAGGGAGTACTCCTGTGGAATTTTCAGTTGGTCCAAACACAGCCAAAGGGCTGTGATCTGTATGAACAGGCCCATTTAAAATTCAACAAAATTAAAAAAAAATAAAACAAAACCAAAGTTCAATTCTCTATTGTAGAATATTTCAAACATATACAAAAGTAGAGAAATAGCACACATCCATCTCTTCATAAAGAATTGTTTCATCAACTCCCTCATGATATTCGCCTCTACCCCTGAAAATCCCAGAGAGAGTTTAATTTATTTTACTAAAACTGCATTAGGTTTGCCCGACAGGTAACCACAGTATGATTTCTGCAACTAACAAGAACAACAGTAATTGCTTAGCCTCATCTCATACCTAGTCTACGTTCAAGTTTCTACAACTGTCTCTGAAAGGTATGTTTAAATTAAGATCCAAACAAGATACATACTTTGAATTTGACCAATGTATTTTTAAAATTTCTTTTAATCTCTATTAATTCTCTTTCATCCCACAGTCTATTAAAACATTTATGTGACAAATCTGCCTAATTGCATATTGCCGGGGGCGGGGGGAGGGTACTGGGGATTGAACTCAGGGGCATTAAACCTCTGAGCCACATCCTCAGCCCTATTTTGTATTTTATTTTGAGACAGGTTTTCACGAGTTGCTTAGTGCCTCGCTTTTTTGCTGGGGCTGTCTTTGAACTCAAGATCTTCCTGTCTCAGCCTCCTGAGCTGCTAGGATTATAGGCATGCACCACAGCATCCAGCTCCTAAATTTTTTAGTTGTAGTTGGACACAGCATATTTATTTATTTATTTTTATAGTGCTGAGGATCAGACCCAGCACCTTGCACGTGGTAGGCGAGTACTGTACTGCTGAGTCCAACCCTAGCGCCACTAATTGCATTCTTAAGATGTCCTTTAACATGTTCTTAAATCTCCTATGGCAGTTAGATCTATATAATATTCACATTTATTTATTTGAAAAATACCTATTCCAGGGGGTACTGTATACTATTGCACCACAACAAAGTACATAATGTATAGTTGTGTTTCATTTTGTGATGTTAGTTTTGATTGTTAATATTGGATTGTGATCAGCCTAATTTCCATTAGAGAATTCCACATTAGCTCTAACCTAATTATTTCAACAACCAATGTGTAGATCTACTATTTTTAATTGAGGATTATACAATGATAATTTTTTGTTCTATTATTCCTTCTATTCTTATGACTATGTTTCAAAAAAATCCTTTCTCTGTTTAGTTTTAAGTACTTAGTTCTTCTAAAACACAATTCACAGAGAAAAGACTGAATAAATAACTGCTTGATTCTCTTTTTCTATGTATCTTTATAATAATGAATTGATGCCCTAATAATCTCCAAAGGAAACCAGTTAGTTTTAAATTTTATAGCTGTTTTTGGAATTATGATTGATGTAAAATGAACTGCAGGGGTAATGTTGAATAGTTTTTCATGTGCTTATTAGACATTTATGTCTTTTTGGTGAAGTGTTTGTTCAAACATTTTGCCCATTTTTTAATAGAGCTGTTTAACTTTTTTATTATTGAGTTGAGAATTTTTTGGAATGTTTTAGATATAGTTCCTATGTTAGATATATAATTTGTAAATAATTCCTCCCAGTGTATTAGTCAGGGTTCTCTAGAGACACAAAACCAAGAGACCATTAGCAACCAGGTTACCATACACGTGAGGAATGTATTGCACTAGACATTATAACTGCTATAACATAATTAAATGATAAGACATTTTCAACTCCATTATAATCAGTGTTTTTTTTTTTTGTATGTGTGTGTGTGTGTGTGTGTGTGTGTGTGTTACTGGGGGTTGAACCCAGGTCTTCATGGTAGCCAAGCACTGAGCTACATTCCCTGCTACATTTCTATTTTGAGACAGGGTTTCATTAAGTTACCCAGACTGGACTTGAACTTGTCATCCTCCCACCTCAATCTCCATAGTAGCTGGGATTACAGAAATATCCACTGTGCCTGACTTTCATTTAGTCTTATGGGATCACGGTTATATACATGGTCTGTCATTGACTAAAACATTGGTATGTAGCACATGGCTATAATTTTTCTCTTTTTTATATTTGGTTTTAATATGTTTCTCTTTTTTATAATTGGTTTCTTTCTTTCTCTCTTTTTTCCCCTCCCTCCCTTCCTTTCTTTGGTACCAGGGATTGAACCCAGGGGTGCTTAATCGCTGAGCCACATCCCCAGCCCTTTTTATTTTTTATTTTGAGACAGGGTTTTACTAAGTTGCTTAGGGCCTTGCTAAGTTGCTGAGGTTGGCTTTGAACTCACGATCCTCCTGCCTCAGCCTCCCTAGTTTCTGAGATTACAGATGTGCACCACCATGCCCTGTTCTTTAAAGTTTTAAAGCAGAAGTAATTGATTTGACATTTCTCTTCTAGTACAGGCATTTTTAGTGCTATAAAATTTTTTCTTAAGTACTGCTTTAGCTGCCTCCCACAAATGTACCATGTTTTCATTTTTGTTTGATTCAAAATATGTTCATTTGATTTCCTTTCTAATCCATGGATTATTTAGAAATATGAACTTAGTTTTCAAACATTTGAGGATCTTCCAGATATCTTTCTGTTATTGATTCCCAGTTTAATTCCATTGTGATCAGAACTCCTTTGAATTCTTTAAAATTTCTGGGGCTTTTTTTTATAACCCAGAATATGGTTGTTAGTAAATGATAATGTGTTGTTATTGGGCAGAGTATTCTATCAATGTCAGTGTTATCAGATTGGTTAATAGGGTTGTACAAGTCTTCTATATCATTGATTTTCTACCTATTTGTTTTATCATTGAGAGAAGATTAACCATAATGGCTTTTTCTCTTTTTCCTTTTAGTTCTATTTCTTTCTGCTTTATATAGTTTGAAGCTCTGTCATGTGGCGTGAAATGTTAGGATTGATTAATTGACCCCATTATCATGATTGATTGGTTACTTCATTTGTTCCATTTGGCTAGCAAAAGTCATATCAGTTTGGCTCCTGGATATTTTTGACACAATTTCAAGTTTTTCATAGCCTCCTTGTTTCTGGCATTATAAGATATTCCAAAATAATTTGTGCATGTCCTTCTGCAAACCTGGAGTAAATCGTTTCTCCCAGAAGCGTAGCTCCTTTTGTTGGAAAATGTTACTTAGAGGCTATAATCTGTGTGCTAGGGTTTCTTATAGGTATTCCATGGTAGCCACATTATCTAGGCTTTTTCAGTGGGCAGAGCTAGGAAATTCAGATTTTTTAAAATGAGAAAAAGAAATCCTAGTTTACAGTGACATTTCCAATTAAAAAAATTTTTTTTTTTTTTGGTATCAGGGATTGAACCCAGGGACACTTACACTAAGCCACATCCCTAGCCCTTAAAAACTTTTTGTTACTTTGAGAGAGAGTTTTGTTAAGTTTCTTAGGGTCTTGCTAAATTGCTGAGGCTAGCTTTGAACTTGTGGTCCTCCTGCCTCAGTCTCCTGAGAGGCTGGGGTTACAGGCATGCACCATCATGTCTGACTTATTTTTGATCATTTAAAAATGACTGTTTGTCTTATTCTTTCATTGTTTATTTTTTTAAGTATAAAGAAATACACATTTGTATTCTACATCCTCCTCTTTTCATTCAAAATCCATTTCATTCTTTGTTGACTTCACTACTATGTTCTGAAGATCCTTTCAAAGTTGCAGCTAGATCTCTTCCTCACTCCTTATCACAGTTTCGCAGTACTTACTAACGTGGATGTACCACCAAGCGTCTACCAGTCCTCGGCTAGGGAACATTTGGATGGTTTCAGTGTTCTGGTGTGGGGTCACAGACAGTGCTGCAGGGAGAAGCTCTAGTCACATATTGTTTTGGATACTTTGCTTGTGTGTCTCTGGGATGGATTCTAGAAGAGGGAGGGCTGGAACTATCAATTTATCTATCCATCTATCTCTTATTTATCTATCTATATCTATATCTGTATCTGTATCTATACATATATCTATATCTGTATCTGTATCTGTATCTTTATCTATATCTATATCTAATCTATATCTGTATCTGTATCTGTATCTATATCTGTATCTGTATCTGTATCTATATCTGCATCTGCATCTGTATCTGTATCTGTATCTGTATCTATATCTAATCTATATCTATATATCTATTCTTCCATCCATCCACCTATTACATGTTTCCAGATGTGCAACATCACTTTTAAGGATGTTACTGATACAATGATTGATGAACATGAGGCATCTAGAATCCACATTGTAAGAGCAGTGCTTTGAGGGCCTGGGTGGATTGATGCTAGAAAGTTCATGTAAATAATGTGCTTTAATTCCAGTGCGGCTTCACTGAATGTGTTTCCTGATTGCCATCAAAGGAAGCAGGACCTACTGAGGCTTGGATGCAAGGCCTGACCAGTGGAGTTGCTCAGCCTGCAGGGGTGTCCTGCTCTAGGAGAGGCCCAGGAAACTCCTCATTCACCTGCAGCTTCTGGCTCCCTGGATTCTGTTCTTTTGCCTTTAGCTTAGTTTATTTCTGTTTTATTTTAATCTTATAACCTTTTAAATATTTTGAAAACCATCTTATTTAATTGATTATTATTTTCTTGTCTGAATGTTTCTTTCTTCTTAAACTTAAAAAATTTTTTTTCTCCTTTACTATTTCATTCTTTTAAAATATTTTGGTAATGAATACATTCTTTCCCTCTAAAATTTTGTTACATTTTTTTCCCTCTGATCTTAGTCTTTTCATTCATTTTCCTCTTAACTTTTCCTTACATCTATTTTTATCTTACATATTTCCTTTATTATTATTATTATTATTATTATTATTATTATTATTATTATTTGGTGGTGCTGGGGATCAATCCCAGGGCCTCAGTGCATGCAAGGCAAGCACTCTACCAACTAAGCTGTATCCCAGCCCTACTTTCTCCTTCTTTTTAACTTAAAAGTGTAAAACAGAACTCTCTTTAATTGTTTTTATTCTCTCTGCTGGTTGAATGGCCCCCAAGTAGTATAGCCAGGCATTTAGGACCACAAATGGACAGGGAAAGACACATTGGTTTATCCCCAGGCCATCCCCCAGGGGATGTGGATCTGGGAGGACAGAGGACTGGGAGAAAGAAGGCAACATTAGAGAGAGACAGGGGAAGAGAGAGATCTGACCACGTCTCCCTCTCTGATTCTTAAGTCTGGTCTCACCCATGCATTTTCTGAGGTTTGAGTGTGAGCCAAAAATATTGCCTTTTGGTATTAGCCAATTAGATTCAGGCGTTTGTCACTTGTAGGCAAAAGAAGTCTTGACCGATGGGGTGGTTGTGCAACATGGCATTTTACTTTGATGTTTCATCTTTCAAGTTTCTTAATGAGAATTTCTTTCATAAGGCAAAGCAACATTCTTTCTGACCAAGTAAAATTACAAAAATTACCGTAATCTTTCCATCTGTTAAACTGGGCTGGGTATACCAATGTGTCCTTCTCTGTTCCTTTGTACAAAGCCAGCACTCTCCAGCGACACACTTGACACCTCCACTCAGAGGACTCATAAACAGCCTAAACTGGACTCGTTCAAAACACCACTGTTTTTTCCTTTCCCAGCTCTGCCCTAGTCTTTTTCATTCTACAAAATGTGTTCTAATTCTACAAACGGAGAGGAAACTGTTGTTTCGTGAACACCTGCGTTGAGTTGAGCCGGTCTGCTGCCCTTGCCCTATTACCTAATGCATTCCTCAACCCTTTATGTCTCTCCCATTTTGGAGACTGCACACTGAGGCTCAATAGGTTAGATAATTGCCCAAGCTCCAATATCTGCGAAACAAAGGGGATGGGAGTGACAAAGTCCCCCTGACCCCAAAGCACAGGCTAGGTGTTTTGCTGCGGGGCTGCACAGCCAGCTTTATGCCGCACGGTGGCGCTGCGGCCATGTCCCGGAAGGTTCCTCTGCGCGCTGGAGGTGGGTAGGGGAGTCCCCAGCCTGCAGGGGCGCCTCTCTATGGCTTTAACAGCGGTCCAAGTTATCTCTCCTGGAAAAAGGAGTTGCTTCCCCAAGGTGGGCACCGGTGGGAGGGGCCGGGCAGAGCAGAGACCCTTTCTGTCCTACAGGCTGGCTGAGCCTGGGCTAGAAGAACCTGGAACCAGAGTTTGGAGTCCTGGGTGCCCCAGCAAGAGAAAAGAGGGTGACCACAGGACATCTTCGCTGAGGCCACAGGAAAAAACGGTCCCCATGGGCACCAGACTGCATTTACTGTTTGGAAAAATGGCTCCTTTGGAAGCTGGCTGTTTCATCACCTGCTTTGTCTGTAAGGACTGATCCCTGGGCCTCGCCCAGGGTGCAGCCTTTGGAGATTCTCATCAGAAGCAGCCTGGCCATCCACAAAGCGTTAAATCTTTTTACCAGTCCACACTGTGATGAGCTAGGCATCAGCTGTCTGACCATGGACTTGGCCTGCAGTAGCAGTATCAGAATATAAAACTGTGACTGAACTCTAGGACCATGGCTTTGCTCTGCTCTTCAGTGCTTCCTACAGTCATGCCATTCTCAGCCCTTTATGGAGGAGTTCACTGAAGCCCCTCAGAGAGCAGGTGGTGATGGGGAAGAGGTAGATGAAGGAGACCACAGGGGGCTTTAGAAACAGGGGTGCTTGTCAGTGGGTCAGTGAAGCAAGAAGCAGAGGATGTGGGCTGCTGAGGACACTTAGTCAACTTGCAGTTCTGCCTTTTCCCTGTCTGTGAGCTGAGGGTTGTGGCAGAACTTTTTTTTTTTCTGGTATTAAATTTTCATTCATTAACTGTCCACACAAAATCAATTAAACTATTTTGATTTATTTTTAAAATGTCATTTTAATTTTTTTATTCAATAGGCAACACAATTCAAAGGGTTCAAAATAAGTAGCCTTTTAACACACAAACAAATCAACAACTTAATATTCCTAACAGTAAAGCAGCAAGACATTAAAAGACAATTCATGGAAAAAAAAAGTGTGGTAAGAGTGTCACACTTGGTATTGCAAAACTCTTTTTCCCTTTGAGTCCTGCTTGTCTTTAATGTTGGGATATTTTTGATGTACAGAAATTGCAACGTTTTGTTAAACCATGCATTTCCCGGTATGATCTCAATGCAGCCTGGAGAGTCACTGCTCATCCTGAGATCTGAGAAATCGTCTTCTTCTGCAATTGGTTTTTCATGGCTTCATGGTTTGCTCTCTCATCGACCTCAGAGATGTTTTTATTAGTGATGTGATTGAGAGGCAGAGCAGAGGTGGTGTGGCTACTGAGAATGGCACTTTGGGAGTACAGTTGGCCTCAAGACAAGCAGGCTGAGAGGAGCTGGCCTCAGGAAGTGGGTCCCTCCTGCTGGGGAAGAGGGCCTGGGGGACTGACTTGGCCATTGGGACTCAGGGGTGGGGCAGACTCTGCCTACAGTCTGGTTGCCCTTGTCTTTTGGCTCAATGTGCAGGAGTCCCAGGGCTTGAGGTGAGTGTGGAAAAATCTGAGAGATTCTAGAGTTGGGGCTGCAAAAATCCAGACACTGGACATTGGGAATCTAGGGAGACTGTAAGAGTGAAAGCTCTGAATGGGAACCAAGGTGGGCCCAGTCCACCAGACCACCAAGGTGAGTCCTCCAGTATCAGCCACCCCTCCAGGCAGTTGAGGACTCCATTGATCAGGGAGGCTTTTCTCAGGATACACCTGGCAGCCAGCTGCATGTGCTGCGTTCCAGAAAGTGGCACCAAAGCAGCTGAAATGTCCCGTTTGTATTGCATGTAAATCCTTAGGAAAGGGAGTCAATGAACACATATGTCAGACCCTGAGGCAAGTCCAGGGTCATCACCACTGTTTCCAGCCTTGGTCCCAGCAGGAGGAGGGGCATGTGCTTCTCACCCTCTTGCACTGCCTCCTTGGATGTTGAGGAGAGCCATGTGAACCTTATCCATAGGGGACACCTATTCTGAGCAGCCATGGACACAGCTCTTGGCTGGGAGGCGGGAGATGAAGCATTACCTTCAAGCCACCCCCAGTTATGTGACTCAGGCTGCATGCTGCTCTTTCTTGGGTATAAGGGTCCTCGCCATAAAATGGGATGGTGTCTGTCCAACAGGGGCCAGGCAGAGGATAGCAGAGATGGCTTCCACAAAGGATAACGAGAAGCAGCAGGACCGTTCTGCCATCAACCAGGTAGTGATCTGAGAATGCATCACCAGCATTCACAAGTGCATCCTTGAAGTAAGCTTCAAGAAGAATGTCCCTCAAAGAGATCTGGAAATTTGCAGTGAAGGAGAAGGGGACTCCAGATGTATGTGGGGAAAGTTAGGCTCAACAATGGTGTCAACAAAGAAATAAGGAATGTCCCATAGGGTCACCCTGTGCGCTTGTCCAGGAGACACAATGAGGACGAAGACAAGCTCTATACCTTGGTAATCCTTGTCCTTGTTACCACTTTCATTCATGTTGTGAATGAGAACCAACCACTGATTGTCCATTATAAAACCACCAAAAAACCGTGGGATAGTGGTCTTGCTCCAAACTGCATACAGTTAACCAAATAAGGAAATAGTGGAGAAGCTACTTTGGAAAAGGAAAAGTGAATCATTCAGGTGTAATCTACCCTTGGCACTCCTCCTCCCAAGGCTGATGGAACCTGGTTGCTGACCTGGGTTGTTTTTCCTGGCAGTGCCAGCAGGTGGCAGCATCCGCCCCTGTATGTGTTTGTCTCCACCAGGAGCTCCTCTGAGACACTAGTGTAGGACCCAGATTAGTTCTTCGTTGAATTCACAGCCCAGGTTCTCACCTCCCTGGACAGGAAGGGGCCGGGGAAGAAGGGATCCAAAATCCCCAGGACAAGGAAGGTTTGGAACCAGAACAAAAACTTTGTCTCTCTCCTCAAAAAAAGCACAGATTAGCCAGTAGAGAGGGAATGGGGGGAATGACGTGAGCTCTTCTTTTTTTTTTGGTAGCAGCGATTGAACCCAGGGGCACTTAACCACTGAGCCACATTTCCAGCCCTTTTGTATATTTTATTTAGAGACAGAATCTCACTGTCTCTAGTTGCTCAGGGCTTCACCGAGTTGCTGAGACTGGCTTTGAACTTGAGATCCTCCTGCCTCAGCCTCCCGAGCCACTGGGATTACAGGCATGAGCCACTATGCCCCGCTGAAGGGTCACCTTGCTCTTTTTGGAAATCGTAGTGTCCCACCCTTCCTGGAAGAGGCAATTTGGGATCTAGAGTGTTAGGACTTCTAGCTCACAGCTCACTTCTCCTCTCTTGGGGTCATTGTCTTCAGTTAGAAAGGCCAGCTGACATTTCAGTGGGGCGGTGGCGAGTCCTTTATTTTTGATGTGTACAAGTTTGAAAATTTAATTCATGTTACAGTTCATTTGTTCAAGAAAAAGAAAAAAAAAGAAATTCTCTTATTTCTTTGTTGTTTATAATGAATCTGGCCTCCTCCCCCCAAACGATGATTAGTGAGAAAAACAATGAAATGTTCAACTTGATTTCAACGTCATGGGACCAGAGTTAAGCCTGTCTTGTTAAGCAATCATAATTTCTCTTGCATAAAAGTGCTTATGTCTCAGATTACC